CAGTAGATAAATGGGGGTGCCGGTTCCAGATAATCCTCTGGAAGGTCTGACATTTTCTGTTCCTGAACTGCTCCTTGCTTCAGGTAAGTAACACAACTTGCAATTTTGGATGCCACCGCTGATGTTCCACCAATAACCCAGAATCCATTGGCTCAGATTGCTTTTAAGGACATACCATGACCTTGATGTTGAACCTTCTCATGGAAGTATTTAATGATCAGGCTTGTTACATGGCCTTTCCTCAGGAGGATGACTGGGAGTTTTGTATCATCTGTAAAATGTCTTTGCTGAATCCGACCACCAACCCACAGCACCCCATCATGGTCAAGGAATGGGTTGAGGTGGTATAACGAACTCGTTGCTTTCATGGCTCTCTTCTTCTGCTGTCCAGATGATCTATCTTGCCCTTCTTGAAGAGGCTTTGACATTCCCATTTCCCTTGAAAATGCGTCCTTCTGGGCTGCTTTGAGGATCTTCCTTTTAGCTGACAAACCTTTCCATTGTCAGGGCAGGCCTTTGATGAGGTTTGACCATCTTAGCACACCTTTCTTTCTTGGGGAACACCAATTGCTAGAGTTTCTGCTAGTAGCGTAGACAGATAGCAATAGCTCTACATGCCCTTTGCCAATCTGAGAAGTAACTTAAACTTTCAACAAGGTTCCATGGCTCTTGTGTGCTTGTTGCATAAGATGTCACTTTCTTCACCTCTGGATCGTCTGGCAGCGAAACAAGCTCTCGATCCTCAAGAGGTTGTGGCCACTGGTCTTCGGGCATCCAAAGGAACTCTAGTCCTGTGATCCATCTTGAACTTTCAACAAGCTCCTTGGCAGTAATACCGCGTGAAGCATCGTGAGCTGGATTACAATCGTTTTGATGTCTCCATTGGCTAGGTGAGGTCTGTTCCCTTATTTGTTGAACACTGTTGGCTACGAAAACATGGAGTCTCTTTGAGTCGTTCTTTATGTAGCCTAACACAACTGTCAGTCCATAAGATTTATACAAATACAATACTTTATTTCAGAATAACATACAAAAACGTAGTTATTAAGAAAAAGGAAACCCAGAGGTTAGCCCTATATCAAGGGTCTCCTAAAGAAAAAAATATAAAATTATTTAAGGTCACTATACAAAAACAAGTACTAAAAATATAAAAAAGTCAAGTGAAAAACAGATAAGTATCGTAAATAAATATAAAATGGCCATTAATAAACATTCATATGATTCTTCAATCTTAATTTAAACTTACTAACGTTAGGGCAGTCACGAAAATTAAATACATTAATAGGAAGATCGCTCCAATGTTTGTTATAACAATTCAATTTTGCAAGTTTGGTTTATAACTTATATGGATAGTTAGATCTCGACTTAGTGTTCCTGCACAGTTCAAAATAATCGCTGAAATTTAATCCATTCAGATTGAATACGATTTTATAACATTCCACTAGGGAAAGAAAATCTCTCCTTTGTTCTAAAGAGTTCCATTTAAGAATTTTACACCT